TCTGTGGTAACTTTCTCAACCTTTGGTGAACTTGCAGGTCTCTTTTTGACATCTCAGCAGCACAACGAAATGCCAAAATGACTTTCGCCCGTGTTTGTGAATGAGAAATCAACATATACTTAGCTGCGGCTCAATAATCAAGCTTGGGACAGTTCCCTCAGGGGGTGTATAGAACTGTGATATCGACACTGAACAAATCTTAATAGTATACGTCGCCTGGCCTGTCTTGGCTTTGGCTTTGGCTGCTGTGTGTTTTGCTGGCCTTTTGACGGGTTCATGTTCTTCAGCGCTGGCCGTTGGTTTCCTTTTGTTTCCTTTCTCTGGTTTTGTCTTCGCCTCCACTTCTTCACCCTCTCCAAATCGTGGAGGTGGTACTGGCCAGGTCAAAAGAATACTCCAACCCCAGCAAACCAAAGAAGGATGCAAATCTGCAAATACAAGCGGGTTAGCTAGACTCAGAAACACATTGACTTGATGCAAGAATGCGCCACCTGTTGAAAAACATGCGCTTTGTTCCTCGCCTTCGTACGTATCTGTTGGAACTGCAACTTTCTTTGGAGCCGGCTGGGCTGCTCCAGCAGCAGCCTTTGGTACGGCCACTTCCTGCCTCATGAGCTGTTGTAGGTCAAACGCCTTCAGTCAGGGGAGCGGTCGCAGGAAGATGATTCTTTCGATATCTTACAAATAGCAGGCGTGTTCAGAAAAACATTGGGACCCCAGCTGGAGCAGCATGTCTTCCTGGCTCTGCCACACCACTCATGTGCATCACTTCAGGCTCAGAATCTGAAGTGGATGCCATTCTCAAAAACGACCCCAAACTCCCACGGGCCAGAACGCAGAGCCAAGAACTTTCCGATTGTTCACAGATCCAATTAGGTTTGCAAGTCTTCTTACGCATGGATAGTGTTGTTTCAATGATTCAAAAAGGTAGCATTAGCTTCAGAACAAAAGAACCATGCAGCATATCAGCCGATCAACTCAAATGCGCTGGTCACCAATGGCGCGACATCGAACACAAAGAAGGCTTGGCTTTATAGTTCGTTGTGACAAGCAATTTGCTGAGCCATGGAGCACTTTGTTTTCACCTTTTTGTTGGCACCAAGTCAAAATCTAGTTTCAGCCATCTTGGGCATCAGCCAACTTGGGCAGCCACATTCTTGAACTTGCCATGATGTCCGTAAAAGGTGCAATGCTAATTGAAGCACTGCTTGGCCTTGTGAACGCAAAACTATGACTATGACCATGGCCTCCGAGTCCGCAAGGTGACGGTGCTACGAGCGCAGATTTGGATTCCTTTTCTCATCTTTGTACAGCCCTGCACTTAGTCTTAGTCTTGACTGTAGGAAAGATATCGGCGCGCAAATGCAAACGTCGGAGGCGCAAGCCAACCCAGCCTTTGGATGGGAGTGACACAAGGCCACACATGTGGCTTCCCATCTACACAACTTGCGAGGATCAACTTGTCCATTGGGTTAACATTCGGTATGATTTGGAACACAGTAGAGTACATGGTCCAAACATGTTAACATTCGTTAACGTTCTGTGCCAAACTGTACTAAAGATGCGAAACAAGACCATGGTCCCAGGTGGAAGTTCTGAAAGGTTTAAACCCCGAATGACAGTATGACTATATTGCAATCAGTTTGCCTAGCTCGACAAGTTGCGGGGTCTACATAATTTGCAAGACCTGATTGGATTCAACAACCAGGTTTCCTTTGAGCACACACACTGGTCGCAATGGAATCAGCTTTGCCCCACTACCTCCGTTGGCCTCCAACCTGGAGCACAAGTTGGAAGACCACCGCCATCGTTTAAAATCAGCTTCTAGATTCAGGCTGTGAGGCAACGACAGGTTAAGAGTTAAGTCTACAAAACACCTGGGCAACAAAGTGCGTTTGCCTGACGCGCCATGCGATCTCCAGGGCGGCGCACGAAAGCAGTTTCTTCATGTCCAGCTTGTTCCCAAAGGTCACCGCGGAAGCCTATCAAACCCAGGCTCAATGGCGGTCAGGATTTGACCGCTTAGCACTCAATTGAAAACAGTTTATATACGGTTGCCAACCCCCAAACGAAGAAGAAAGCCTTTTGGTTGACGTCCAAAAGCATTGAATGTAAGATTCTGGAGGCTTGAAGTCAAATTAAAATAATGCTTTTCAGAATGAGGTTCACCCGCCTTCGCCTTCTTGTCTTTCTTGCGCTTCTTGTTCTTTGGTTCTTCTGCTTTGGGGGGGTCCATGACAAAGCAAAGTCTCTTCTCGCATTGGATCGAATCATTACCCAAATCGACGGTATGATGAGAAAAGCCAACGTTCACCTGACGGCACATACATGCATTTGGGTTCTATATGATAGATATAGCTAGCTTCACAAGCATGCAATGAAAGACATATGTGGGCCTCACCCTGGTCTTCTAAGGCCAGAAGAAGTTCACGCAGCTTCACGGCCTTCTCAATGCATTGCAGAGAGCTGAGATGGGACAATGCCTTTTTCTTGTCGAGAATGACAAGCGATGTAAACTTCATGTTCACAGGGATGGCGCTGCCGTCGTCCGACTCCAAAACTTCGACTGCGTCAGTCCCATCATAGAAGCTTCCACTTCCAAAGCTGAACATTTCACGATGGTTCAGCAGATCACACTGGTCCGCAGCTGACTGAAAATACCTTGCTGCATTCAGGCGCTATGAACTAGACTCTTTTGGTGGCAGCGAGCTCCAAAAAGAAAGAAACATAACATAGCGATCCGGAAAGCATAAACCAACTCTTTTGGAGGGAACCAGGCCTGAATGTGTGGAAAGAACGGAAAGAAACTGTCTAAACATTGGTCGACAAAGGGAGGTTGTAACAGAAATGTGTCAATGCAGCGTCAGTTTGCAAAGCAGTTCCGGACTCATTCACCAGCAGGGAGAGGGTTGAGTTGATCTGGAGTTCAGACCTTGGCTATATGGGTCACCTGCCCTTGCTTGCAAGAAATATCATCAATGTGGCTCTAGAAGGCCTAATCTAGGTGAGGGTGAGGGAGTGCGAACAATTGCCAAGGACTGGACAAATCCATGCTGGCCAACTTGTCCATGGTCAGCGGCTCAGCGCTCTCAACCAAAGGGCAGGACATTGGGCCAGAACCTTCACTTTCCACAGGATTGGCGGTGGTCTCCCGCGCAAGTCGCACACCCTCGCGGTTGTACTTGCTGTTATGGTCTTCAATGATGGCGTGAAATTCGGCAATCTCATTCTCACCTTCCCCGAACTGCTCAAAGAAGGGTTCCTTCACAATCAACCCATCAGCATTGACCACGGTGACCTGGTAACCTGGATCTTCACTCCGAGTCTGCGTTTCAGACATCTTTGCGAGAAGCGGGGCAAAGTCAGGGAAGGTTGGAATCAATCCCGCACCCGGGTTCGACCGGCAAAGGTCATATGTGGCGTTGACCACTCGATCCATCAAAGAATCAGCATCGCCCGTTTTTTTGGCGGTTCCCACAGCCACACTTGCGCAAAGCAGTTTTGGATTGTCAACCTGCATGCCACTCAAAAAGCTAAGTTCATTCTTTTTGTCTATGGTTTCCAAACATGCTTTGAAAAACTTTATCAAGATGGTGTAAACAAGTTGAAGACTCCAATGGATAGATCACTCCATGCACTGGCC